TCGGACCGGACACTCCACCGGTTCAACGGACCGAGGCCCGTTGAAGAGAAAGGCAGCAGGACCAGCAACGTCGTTGACAACCTCGATGAGCGAATACTGAGTTGGTGGGGAGACCTCAGGGACCGAAGCGACGCTAGTAGTAACAAGTGCCACGCTGCTAGTAACAAGTGCCTTACTAGTAGTAACAAAAAGAATTTAATTAGAATTGTAATTACTAGCAAAGGAATCTACTAGGACCTCAGGGACCGAACTGATGCACGAATGGAGTGAGTGTCACGAGTGTCGCCTCGTGCTGTGAGGGCTTGGCCGGAGGAGGGGGGTTTCTGGGAGCCAACGGAGACAGCTGGAGACAGCTGGAGACAGTTGGAGGCAGCGTTGGCAGCTTGCTTGCAGCGGTTGGCGCGCCAAGGTTCAAAAAGAGGAATGGGGATACCCTTAAGGGTGCGCTGGCCTTCATTCCGTGGGCCGGGCTCCCTAGGAGAAAGGCTGAGAGAAAGACATCCACCGCGATCACGACGAAGTCGATGGGCGGATGAAGCCTATTCTTTCTCTTGAGACATACAACGGAGCAACAGGAACCGTGGTGTGTCTCAAGATGTGAGTCCTCTACATTCCTCTACCATGTTCTCTTCTCTTCTGCTTTTTGGTGTCGAACCTAACCTACTTCAGGTATAATTCGGCGAGTGAAGATTCCCCTCTGCCTCCACTGCTCTCCCAGACGGCTTTCGGTTGACTCCAGCGGCCTGTGCCGTTCCTGCCGCACCGACCGAGGTTTTGCAAGAGGCAAACGCCGAGGCGGGTCGCGCGGATCCGACCGGGTGGGTGCGAAGCATCCGTCCGAGCGAGAAGGGCGATTCGGATGGATCCAAAAGGTCTGGCAGGATTGAGGGAAGACAGTCTATACCAAGAAGACAGGTTTTCCGTATTTGGTTACATTGGACATCAACCGCCATGTAGCTGGGGTAGTTGCTTTTGGAGAAGAACTCCTTGAGAAGAAGTCCGATCTCCAAATCTACCAGATCTCCCCCTGCGCCATCAGGGCAGTTTGGAGAAGGGCCATGTGGTAATCCACAGGGGCAGCGGTGTGGAGCCCAAAAAACACTCTGCAAGACGCTGAGAAGAGGTGCGTGATGGTGAGGTCACGGTCGAATTCCTTAACAGGCTAGGCAAAAATTGAGTCCAAGCAAAGTTTGGATTCATACCCCTGACTTCTTGCATTTTCCTGCCAGCGCGAGTAAAATGACACCAGTGAGAGCTTGCATGAACACAGTCCTTGAGTCTGGCCTTAAACAGACAGGAGCAATAAGCAGTCTGACCATTCAAGATATTCATCATTCTCCACTGAGGAGCAGTCGTCTTTTCGGACGCTAGCGGTTTCACCAACCTGACAGAAAGGCGAGGAAGATGGGACTCCTGCTTTATTGGATGGCAACGCTGTTTTCGACCGCAACTCATGCAAAACAGATTGGAAGACCCACTTTCATGTTGTGGCATCTATCTCTGCGAGAGAGCCATGGGCCATGATGATGCCACAGGCTTTCCAAGAAAAGCGATGGTGCAGAATTGTTATCATTATGCTATGGCCTTAGGTGCTTGGAGCGCTATCCTCTGCACGGATTTTTTTTCATGTATTGAATTGAACCTAGGAACCTTGCCTTTTCAAGTGAGCTCTTCTACTCTGTCGTTTCTACAGGGACAGTATTTCTGCTGATAAAGGAGAATTTGTCGTTCGCGAACGTCTCCGTAACGTCTGACGTGTTGGAGTCCTACCAACTCCAGTTTGGAGACTTTTCTAAGGAAGCATCAACCCTTTCTGTAGTTCTTTCTTAGCTCCCATGCTTGCTGAGGCCTTACGTCTTTCTTCACTCCTTTGATAGACATCATCAACTCCTACCGCGGTGATGTTGGACAGCCCAGCATGAACTTTGGTGCTTCCAGCGTCACACTCGCGGTTTGGATGTCCAGCTCTGACGATTGGATCGTCCTTCCGCTGACGACGGGACCCGCAGGCACTGCAGCTGGACCTGAACACGGATGCACCCAGAATGAACCCAGAATCCATCTGAACTTGTGGGGAAACAAAAGCATAGTCCCAAGCAGGCACGTCTCTTTAAATTCAAACAAGCCACCAGTGTCTATGTTCCTTGCTACTACATGCTTATTTTTTTGGACACATCGACGGCATTTCCTTTCTTAAGGGAGCCACTTCTCGTTCTGGGCGGGTGACTTGACTTCTTTGCACCAGTCGATCCCCTCGGCGGACTCACCAAGTCGCCGCGCGGATTCCACGCGGCGTCACGCACTGAGGTGATCAAATTCAGTGGTGACGCACTGACCATCTACTTCCCGGCACCCTGGACGCAGCGCGTTTGTTTATTTTTCTTTTTTCAGCGCACACATGCGCAAACTGGCAAGTGCCAGCTGGAAGCGGCAGACAGCTGTCAAGTGGGTGTGGTGAAGGTGTCTGTTCTAAGCTGCAAAGTTCCTTCTTCCTTTCAGAAACCATTTCTCCCGCACACGTCTACGAACCGAACCTGTTCTTCTTCCCCCCCCCTTACTTGCCCCCATTGGCCTCGGAAAAAACACGGACACCGAGGCAGTTGATGATACCAAGCACGAGAAGTACAATCACGTGGTTCCGCCGCACGGGACGTGGGGCCGGGGACCTCGGGGACCTCAGCGCGAGGGGCGTGGGAACGGCACCAAAGCACCGGGTATACTGTGGCTCAGTTCTTGTTGGGTGGATCGGAGGAGGAAGAGGATGAATTCCGAATTCTTCAACTTGGGTGCGTGGCTGCGTAGCTGTAGCTCAACTTATATAACTTGGTGAGGGTAGTGGGTTGGATGTGCATCTAGATTTTCGTGGGCGAATGCCTCCGAAGAGAGCGGACAATTTGTTGAGTGACCTGGTGTTTGAACGAGCCACACGTCTTGCATCTACCTGCTTGTGCTGAGGCGAACTTCCTTTTTACTTTTTTTGTGAAGTACCTTGATTGCCGTCATTCGATGGCCAAGGTATCGGCGAAGGTGTATCCGTTGTACATTCTACACGTCTTCCCGAAGTCAACAATCATTGCAAGTCGAGCTAGCATCACAATACTGAAACATCTTAAACCATGAAGCTTCTATGAAACCTCCAGCTAAGGTCCTATAGGTCTTTCATTCACCCTTTCTACCCCTTTTCGCCCAAGAGTTTCTCAATTTGTACATCCTGAGGTCTTCCAGACCTGGGCCCACAGCACACCGCCGTGCTCCGGGTTAGAGCGCCCAGCCGGTGCCGGTGCCATCGTGTCGCGGCGCGATCACCACGATCAGCCGGGGTCAAAGTCCTGCTTTTGGGGGTCGCACAGAGGCAGGAGAAGAGGTGGCAGCTTCTGTGCTTTGTTGTCTACTCCTTGTCTTTTGCGGGTCTCTGTCAGTGTGATTTTCTGGGCAGAAAACTCTTGCTGCAGGTTTTTGTGGGGGGTGCTTATGGGTTGAAGCATGCCCTGACACATGCTTAGGGGAGTGAAGACACCCAATCGATCCCATCGGTGTTCTAACTCGATAAGGAAAGATGGAGTTGGATGGGGCTCAAGAATCCGTAGCTCAAAATATCTCGGAAACAGATTGACGATAGTAGGAAGGAGACAAGTGGGTTCTGGTTTTTTCAAGGTTTGCATCAGTTGCACCGCGCCTATTCTTTCTGCAAGGCTTGCGCCTGCTGCATTGAAATTCACAAGCGCCTCCACATGTTCGACACAGGCCCAGGGTGAAGAGGGTCGAGTGCTTTCCGTACTCACGAACCAAGAGAAGCTTCCGAATTCAATGTTTCACACATGGAGTCGTTCGTGTCAGTCAAGTCGGCGAGTTCCACGGTCTCAGGCAGCTTCCTTTGCATGGACAGCAGGAATCCAGCATGCCCCTGAATCCACTCAGTTTAGACCCTTCTTAAAAGGACACTTCCTTCGCTTTTTTTCCAAAACGAGCACTGCCTTGTTCCACGAGGCGTCGACGGCGTCCGTTTGTGCCTCCACATTGGTGTTGGATGCGGCGAGGTGAATATCCTCCAGGCCGGGGTGAAAAATCCTCAATATATAGAGTATATCCTCAGAACTAATTATATAGTGATTAGTGATTGCATATTATAGAAATCAACTTCTAGATAGGTGGAGAGTGGTGTAATGATATAACTGAGGCTGTGGTATTTTTTCAGCGTTCTCACACTCGACCAGGTGGGTGGCCGGCCTCCGCCTGAGACGCGGGTGCCACGCTTGGAGTGCGCCGGCGTGGGCGGTGGTGAAACGCCGTGGGTGTTCGTCACGCCAACGGCGGGGTGCTCCGTGTGGGAGAGAGAGAGAGAGGGCTTCCGAAGTGGGGTTCACCATTTCAAGCTTGGTAGATTCAAGACTGGAGGAAGGGGGCCCTAATTTGCACACCTGTCATTTGATTGGGTTGTTGGAAGGTTTGACAACTAAGGAAGGTTTCAGCACCCTGACCTGCGAAAGCCGATGGAATTTCCGCAACCTGCACCAACCCGCGCAAGAACCGAGAACGCCAGGTACATCATTGCTGGCCCACCCTTGGAACAGATTTCCATTGCTGAGCCCTTGGCCGGCAATGGCGAGACCTGTCTGAGTCCTCAGGCGAGCAATTGCCTGGCACCCTTTGGGGACGTTTAGCATTGGTGGAGATCAATCTGATCAATTTGCTCAAAAAGAAACGGAAGAGACCCCAAGTTTGGGTCAACATTCCACTCTGGATGAAGACCCTTGAATGGTGGGTCCCCGTAGTGATAATTCGTTTGGAGACAGAACTGGGTTTGGTGTTCCGAGCACAACCTTACTCACGGATCCAGAGGGACCCAGATGCGCGTGTTTGGCCCCAGATGCGCGGGGCCCAAACCGGATTCTGGACCGCCTGGAGAGGCTTGGGCCTATGTGAAGGACTGCGTGGTGGAAGGCTCACCAGTCGAGGAGAGAATGTTCAACGCTGCCTGGAGGTTGATAGAGCTCGGGACACATGGACAAGGCTGAATAGCAATTGACAATCAGAATCGAAAGGAAAAGGACACCAGGAGTATTCTGGTCCTGTTCCACTTCCCACCAGGGGTTTGACAGGCAATACTCCTGATCCGATGGCAAAATGCCCCCTAGTTTGCACAGGTGACAACACGACAAGGTGTCTTGTGTGTACCGCTGCCGTATATGTCAAAATCCTGAGTCGCTTCACATCCCAAGCCTCTGAAACCCTTGAGGAATGCCTGAGGTTCTTCCATGGGAGGTGTTTGTGAAGCAGGCCACGCGGACTGTAGCATCGGCCTATCTCCAGGGTCGAAGTCCATCAGTGGAGGTGTTGGAGCAGACGGTGGTGGCCACCGCTGCAGCTGGCCAGTGGGCCTGGGCGTTGCACTTCTTGGAGTTCCCAGAAGGACGGACTTCAAGAAGTTGTGAAGCTTTCTTGCGAAGTCTTTCAAGGTCGAAGCAATGGCAGTTGCACCTGAGACTCTTCGAAGAGCTCTACATGAAGGGAATTCCAATGTCAGATGGTGCGGTGCATGCTGCCTTGTACTCTTGCAAAGCTGCGAGTGCTTGGGCCCATGCGGAAATCTTGCTGACTCGTCATCCCAGCTTAAAATCTTTCAGCCTGGTGTTGGGGATCTCTCCTTGGGATCGAGCTCTTGAGATCTTGGCCCAGATGACACCAGCGCAGCAGAGCACGGTGAGCTTGAACCATTTGATCAGCAGCCTGGGCCAAAGCTTGCGATGGGCCTTGGCCTTGCAGCTGGGACATCAGCGACAACAGCTGAGCAATGGGCACCGAATGGCGACAGCCAAGGCGATGATCAGCGCCTGTGAGAAGGGATGCCAATGGGAGGCCGCTTTGCAGCTCTCGCACGAGCTGGAAGAAGCAGGGCTCGTGGATGTGGTCTCTTGTTCCTCCTGCATCCGCGCACTGGCAAAAGCAAACCAATGGCAACGGGCGGAACTCTTGCTGGAGAAGATGTTGCGACGTGGGCCTGAGCCCAACATAATAACCTTTAACTGTTTGATCAGTGCGTGTGGAGGGGACCAGTGGCCGCGGGGTTTGCATCAGCTGTCTGAGCTGCCTCTTCATGCGCTTGTTGCAGATGACTTTACTCTGGTCACCAGCATCAGTCGGCTTCCACTATGGCAGCCAGGCCTCTTCTTGTTGAGGACTTCTAGATCTCAAAGCACCGAATGCAAAGAAGCATTCAGTGCTTTGATGAGCAGCCTCAACCGCCAATGGATGACATCTCTTGCCTTGCTCCGATACATGCACCAAAGGGATCTCGAGACCAGCCTGCCTTGCCAACAGGGAGTCTTGTTGACACTGAAAAGCTCAGATCAATGGGAGAGGATGGTGAACGTCATGGCACCAGCCAGTCACGGTCGCAGTGCTTGGCGCCGTCGGGGCACCATGTCCTCGCTCCAGCTGAGCACCGAAGGAAGAGCCTCCCGCTGGAGGGAGGCGGTGAGCTTCTTTCGAGGGATGTTGAACGGACACATCGAGGCCTGGTGGAAGAAAGACTATGTTTCCACACTATCAATTCCCTGCAACAACCCAACTAATCTTGACCAGACTCCTTTCCGACACAGAACGACTTTGTCTTTTGCCAGACTCTTGGTGAAGAACCTTTCTGCTTTGGACCCTCGTTTAGCTTGGGCTCTCCTAGTAGGGGGTTTCTTGTTGGGGTGAAGGGTTGTATTGATCAAGCTCTGACAAGATGACCGGTTGGGGCTTCAAACACAGGCTCGTTCAGAATCGAACCCGGAATATCTTTTCCAGGACGTCTTCCACAATAGCAAACGAAAGAAGCAACATTCAGCAGAGTTTGGTACAAGAAGCACCAACTCTGAAGGTGTCCTCCTCTGAAACCACTGCGGCCATCTCTGCATGTGATGTTGGGCCACAGTGGCCACTGGCCTTGGAGATTTTTCGGCGCTCTGGCATGAGGAGCACTTCCACCTTCAATGGAGCGGTGAGCGCGTGTCAAGAGGGAGCATGCTGGGTGTTGCCACTGAGTTTATTGGATCTCATGAAGACCTGTCTCGTGAAATCTGATGCTCTGAGCTTTAACTCCGTCCTCACCTGTTGCGAGAAGGCGGCTCTCGGGCCGGGCGAGGGCAGGCTTGAAGGAGCTGCAGACTCCGGACCCGAAAGATTGCAGGGTTGTTTTGCAGGAGCTGGTTGCTGGATTCCATATCATCAACCTACCATACCTACTACCACCCAGCTTACCATACACCATACAACCTTCCACTCCCTGTCCTTCCCCCTCCCCTCCTCTTCAGGCCAAGCGCTGGGAGTTCTCCTTTCGCTTGGCTCGCGGGGCCTCCGCCGCTGCCGAACGCCTCGACGCGCTGACCGCCTCGGTGGCCGCGGCCGCCTCGGCGCAGCGCTGGCGCTGGGCGCTGCAGCGGATGGCGGCGGGGGGAGACGCGGTGACGGCGGTGTGCTTGGAGGCGGGGGTGCTGGGGGGCCGTGGAAAAAGTGAAGGAAAGGGGCTGCAATTGGTGTGGATTATATGATATATGTATAATATGCACATGGAAGATCATGAAATAGAATGTGACTGAAACAAAAACAACAGCTGAATGGAGCTTCTGAGGTGGCCTTGGAAGCCTGTGAGATGCAGAACCAAGGGCGCCAAGTGGTGGAGCTTTTGGACAAGCTTCAGCTGAGTGGGGAGCTCGCTGTGCTGAAAACGTGCGTCGAATTTGAGCCACTGCGCGTGGTGGTTTGAGTTTTCAGCGGAGATGAATCAGGATGAATTTAGGGGTATGGCCCGTGTGTATCTATGGTGGTGCAGGATGGACCGTTTATTCACCGTCACCTGGTGACCAGAAGGTTTTCACTTCGACGTGGCTCTTGTCAGGCAAGGACCCTTGCAAAGAACCCGGAGCCAGTAAAGCCTTCAAGCAAGACAAGACCAGTCTGTGAGAAGAGTGTCTTGGAGGTTTCTTAATCACGAAAGCTAGCGAAGCTAGCTGGAGTTACTCTTGCGATAGCAAGGTTTCTTTCGACCGGGTGCAAATCCTAATCCCTGATTTTTCAGGTCGAAGACCCCCCCCCCGTCCTCCCCTCCGCCCCTCTCCCCTCCTCCCCTCTCCCTTCTCCCCACCCCACCTCCCCTCTCCTCCTCCTTGTCTTCCTCCCACCTTCCCTCCCTCCCTCCCTCCCTCCCTCCTGAAAGGTAGAGCCTACCTGTACAGGGTTCCACTCCAACAGCTGATATAGTGTGTCCATGCTTGACTGCTTCAAGGCTCAAAGAGCAAGAGGATAAGACTCTGCGCATAAAAGACACTAGCGGTCTGCACCTCTACCGTGTACGCCCTAGTCACTCTTTCAGTGGTAGCGGAGCAGTGATCCTGGAAGACCCAGGTGAGCTCCTTTCCTAGGCATAGACTTGCTAGTGGGCAAACGGCCATGGATTGGATTGACGACTGGGAAGAGCCTGATGCGGATGTGGCTTATGAGCCAGCAGCCTACGTGAATAGGCATGTGAGAAGAGAACCAGCAGCAATAGCAATGACAACACAGGTCACTACAAAGGTGCCCCCATCTTATGATGGAAAGACTTCATGGTTTTCCTATGAGGATGCCATAGACGATTGGTGTGATATCACCGAGCTGGAAGATGAGAAAAGAGGACCAGCATTGAGAAATAGATTAGAAGGAGAAGCAGCTGTATACAAGCGTGTTTTAGACAGAGATGCATTGAAGGCAAATGATCCACCAGGAGCCGGCGTAGAATATTTCAAACGAGTACTACGACCATATTTCGCGAAAGGATCAACCAATGTATTCCTGTATAGGTTCATGCAATTCGTGCGCTTCAATCGAGGATCAGCTGACATGATGAAATGGATGACAAGATTCCAGATTTTACTCCAAAGGCTTATGAGCAGTTGGATGGACATGTTAGAACCAGTCACTCAAGCACATCCACAAGTCCTAGCTCAGATGCAGGCAGATGCAGCATTGACTGGAACAGCACCAACGGCAGAAAGGATTCAGGAAATCATGCAGACCATCAATGGCAACATGAGGACCTTTCATCAGAACGAATTTCCTCTAGGAGAAAATCTCATTGCCTTACTCATGCTGTCACTTGCAGATTTGTCTCAGGACCAGCGAAACACTTTGACTTCATTGATGACTCATCGTGGCAGGGTCCTGCAGCAATACACCACAACAGAGTTGAGGACAGTGTTCATTGAGATGTTCTGCACGACAAAGACTTCAGTAGACAATCCTTTGATGCAGCCGACAGGTGCTGGAGGTAGAAGATCATTTCTCGTACTAGACGAAGGAGAACTCGATGGTACATTTGGCTATTGGGCCGAAGATGAAGAAGATGGAACAGAAGGATTTTTAGATGCCCTGGACGATGTCTTTTGGGTATATGATGATCAAAACTTCTCATGGTTCCAAAGGAGATTCCAAGGAAGAAGAGCCAGGAAAGGCAAAGGAAAAGGTAGAAGAAAAGGAAAAGGAAAAGGAAGATCAGGCCGCAGATTCTTCAGACCTCGTGGAAAAGGAAAAGGAAAGAGACGAGGTAAAGGCCATTTTGCTGATGAGCAACAGACAACATATCCAGAAGAGTACTTTGAAGAGAATCCTTATGAGGATACTTGGGAGTCAAACCAAGTAGCATATGATGCCATTCTTGCCGAGGATATGAATGACTATCTTCAAGGAGAATATGATGATGCCAATGACTTCTGGCAACAGCTTGAAGAAGCATGGTTTTCCCACAAAGGAAAAGGAAAAGGCAAGAGAAAAGGCAAGAAAGGAAAAGGAAAAGATAAAGGAGATGGCAAACAAGATGCAAACTATGCAAATCCACAACAGCCACGTTCTTTACCTGCACCTTCAAGATCTTCACAAGCATCAGGAGGTCAACAAGGTTTCTTTGCACATTGTGTGACAGCAGCAGCTGAAGTCAATGACAGTGAGGTGGACTTGCTGTCAGGCATGATGACCTCATGTCAAGATGAAGCTGACTGCGCGGTCAACAATGGTGAGACGATCTTCAATGGCATGGGTGCCCCTGTGAGGTACTCTTTGTCAAAGGAGATGCTCACAAAGGCTCCTGATGGCTTTGCGCTTATGAGCGCTGAGGAAGAAGTGAAGGAGATGCAGGCCATTTCATTTTTGACTGAGAATCGCTTTCCGCCGACTATTGCAATCCTGGACATTGGATGCACTAGAGCTATGGGATCAAGGCGAGCAGTCGACCATTTTTGCAACTATGTCGACAATCACCCAGATTGTGGATTATGGTACTCTTTTGAGTCTACCAAGAGCAAGTTTTACTTTGCCAATTGCCAGAAGGCTACTTGCTCGCAGAAACTGGTGATTTACATGTATGATCGTGCATGGACGATCCACCATACAGAGTTCGACATAGTGGAAGAAGGAGAAGTACCTTTGCTTATGAGCTTGCCACAGATGAGGAACTTAGGCTTTGAACTCAGGCTGACACCTCAACATGCTTATCTGACATCGGTGCCTCTTGGTATCAAATATTTGGAGTTGAAGGTTGCAGCCAGTACTCATCTTGTCTTGGACTTCCAAGATATTGCATGGTATCTGTCTGACGTGAATTTACAGACACGGCGCGAGAAGAGTTTTTACTCTCACTTCACTCACTATGAATATGGTCATATTTCTGTTGACCTCAATAGTGATGAAGATGTAGCTGAACATGCATATCCTGTGGTTGACTACTGGGAAGTAGATGTTCACAAGAGAGAACTGATACGTCACCACAAGGATTATAGAAAGATTCTCTTTCCAGCAACTAAGTCCTGTCCTGTAGACACTGACTTACTGGAAGACTTGCGACTGACAATCATCAAGAAGAAGAAAGGAGGAGAAGAGATCAAGAAGCAAGATGATTGGCGCAAGGCAAAATGGAAGGACCTACAAATTGGCTATGAATGGCGTGGTAGAACAATTTTTAAGTTCAAGCCAGATGCCAAAATTCCAGATCTAAAGATCAGGAAGGCTGGCATTGAGCACCGTGGCATTGGTGATCCCGATGCAGTGGTGCGCTCCTCCTCAGAGAAGGTTCCCATTGCAAGGGACAGGGAACCAGGCTTCTCTTCAGAGAAGGAAGGTGCACCATCCAGTGCCGCGGAAAAGCCCGTGCCGCCAAAGTTCCGGTATACTTCCAAGGGTTTTGATCCATTTTGGAAAGGACACAAGTCGAAACCATCTGAGCCTCAGAATGATTTAAAGGGTGATGATCTTGAGGAGTATGCTCCCTCAGAACCACCTGAGAGGCCAGAAGGTGAACTTGTAGAAATTCCTAAAGCATCAAAAGGACCATCAAGTGATAAACATGAACCACTTGAACCAGGTGATGGCGCTCTTGAGCCTAGGCGGATTTCAATCCCATTACCTGGTAGTGAAGTTGTTGCAATGACACCGGCATATAGGAAGATGTTACAGAGACTGGAGGACAAGGTAGAGCTTTATAAGCTTCATGTGAAGCACTACCATATGAGTCCTACTCAGTTTCGTCGACGTGTTTCTATGTTGAAGCTTCCTGACTCTGTTTTAGAGAAGTATGAATCAGTTGTCAGGAACTGCCGTGTTTGTAACACTTCAGTGGCACCTCCGCCACGAGCCAGAGTCTCCGGTATTAGAGCTTCATGTTTTGGTGATGTTGTTTTTGCTGATCATTGTGAGGTTGAACTTCACAAGAACAAGTATATCATCTTACTTGTTCTTGATGGTGCCACAAATCTTCTCTGGGCTACGGCACAGAAAGACCTCATAGATCAAACCACCATCCAAGCATTGAGGCAATGGTCTGATGAGAACAACTGTGTTCCAAAGGCCATCGTAGGAGACGAAGCCTTTTTCAGCGATGCTTTTGTTGAATACTACAGGTTCCATGGTATACAACAATGTCCTTGTGGGCCAAGAACTCCTTGGCCGAACCGAGCAGAGACAGCTGTACGTTTGTTCAAACGTATGTGGCATGTTATGAAGGTAGATCTGGATGACCCACGTTTTCGTGGTGTTACGGTCAGAGAAGTGGTCAAGAAGGTAGTTTGGGCAAGAAATTGTCAGTTGACTATCAGTGGATATTCACCAATAGAGATAGCAACTGGAAGACGTCCACCAGATCTTTTTGACCTTGAGACCGCAAGCCCTGAGCAATTGTCAGCTAGTGCAGCCGCACAAGATCGTACAAATCTGGAACTACAACGTGTAGCTTTGAGAGCTCATCAAGAAGCACGACAAGCTCAGGACCTTCGAGCAGATCTTGCAAGGAGGACTATGCCAAGTGACGGTCCTTATTTCCAAGGAGAGAAGGTTTTTGTTTGGACTCAGGATTCATCAAAGTTCAAGGATAAAGGACGTTGGGTTCGTGCCACAGTACTTGGACAAGAAGGGGCTATGGTCCAAGCCAACACTGGTAAGGCAGTGATACGTGTGAATCAGTCAAAGGTTAGACGCGATCACGATGAGTGGCATGATGTTTCCATACCGGCATTAGACGATGAGAACCCGGAGAACTTACGTGAAGATCGCGAATTGTATGTTGATGCCGAATTTGGAGAACAGTCCTTTTTCTTCTGTAATGATGATCATCCTGATGTTGTTGAGTTACTTCATGGAAACAGTGGATTATCTTGGTTCCTTTCAAAGAATGGTGTTAAAGTTGCAT